ACCCCCACCAGCTTTCGCTGTTAGTAACACGTTTGCTAGCTCGTCGTCGCTATAATGCCTGGTTAGCTTGAGCAACAACATATGGTAAGGGTCATCCTTTCCAAGCTGTGTAACGTATGTGATCCAGGTGCTCAGCGCTGGATTTTCCAAAAGTCCGTCTCCCTTCTCAGCGTTAAGTTTTAGAATGTTGAAGGCGCCGTCTGCTGTCTTTCCATCAGCTAACCAGCTCTTAAACTGCGCCTGCTCCACCTTTCTGACAATAGGGTTAGCGTCATCTTTTGCAGAAATTAGCATACGAGCTAAAGCGTAGTCGTCGTAGTGTTTCGTCAACTTGAGATACAACGCATCGTATGCGTCGTCTTTGAGCTCTATTGCATACGAGATCCACGTCTTCAACAACGGATTCTTGAAAAGATTTTTGTCATCTGCTTTTAGCTTCAGAAGATTGAATACATCATCCGACGTTCTCTCTTGAGTGATCCAGTTGTAGAGCTGCATGACCTCAAATTTTTTGGCCATTGTCCTCGTCTTTGGCGATTGTTGAGCTTGAAATAGTAGCTTGGCCAGTGCGGCATCGTCATAATGAGCTGCTAAAGAAAAAAACATCGCCACTTCACCCTTCTGGGGATCCCTCTTGTAATTTTTCGTCACACGCTTGATCCACTCTTTAAACGCTGAGCTCTCGAAAATGTTCTCCTTTGCTTCTCCAACTTTAAGACTCGCAAACAGTTTGTTTGTGGCCCTTTGGTTATCGGAAGTCAATCGCTCCTTTACCGCTGTTGTGAACTTCTTGAATTTCTCTGAGTTTGCCAGATTCTTGAGAAGTGAAGTACCTAGAAGCCGACGATCATTAACCCTCTCTTCAGATATATCGTCGCCTTCAGCCATTGCTAGCAACTTGTGACCCCTCAAGTGTCGATGGATATTGATGTCGTTCGGAGATTCATTTTTTGTGATAGCGACGGCAGATTCCCTCGCTTCCACCGAATCAGTGTTGACACACACCGACAGAGCAAGAACCAACAGAAGTACGACGCAGCTGAAACGTGTCGGTAAACGTAGTATGACAGTCATTGGTCGTGATCGTTCAAATGAGAGCAAGGTTGTAGATTGCGAAGTGGCACCAACGATCTATAGATCATGAAGGCTTAGATCATTTATCTTATACAGCACACCTTGCTCTTGTCTAGGTTTGGTCACGTTTTGGTTTTGTGACTAAACCTTGTTGAGTCACTCACTTGAGGGGTATTTATCAGCACTGCCCACTAGAATCATTTTTATCGAATAGGAAGCTGGTAGAGCACCATCAAAGCTGCTTGATAAAGTAGCGCTCGCTTGGGTGTTTAATTCAGTCAATGTGTCGCAGCTAATTTCG